CATGAGGTGAACCCGCCGCGCGAATGATGCGTCCCATATTCATCCCTCGATTCATTCTTCCCAGCCTCACTTGAAATACGTCGTGAGATGACGAAGAGCTACAGGAAGGAGGGACTCATGATCTACTTGAACGGAACGAGCCCCTTCTTGGGGGTTTACAAAGCAGAACTCGTTGGTGAAGTCCTGAGCTCACCGAGTTTCGCCGAAAAACTTTATCCATACAATTACCTGGAGGGATGGCTTGGAAAGGGCTTGATCACAAGGTAAGTATCCTCCTAGCTAAATATGATCCCAGATGGACGCGCTGATACAAACTATGACCTAGCACTAGACCGCTCCGCGGAATTCGGGGCTGGATGCATGACACTATTGAAGAGATGAAGCCGTCCCGAGATTCGGTGATCTATCTCGTGATTTATCGATCGTTTGCAGCAAAGGATCCCTGTGGAAGAAGCATCGACGACTGCTGACGCCCTCGTTCCACTTCAAAATTCTTGGAGAGTTCGAGAGCGCAATCAGTGATCATGTGTCACACCTAATCGAAACAATGAAAAAAAATCCGAGGGATTTACTCGACGTGGATTTGTCGAAGTGGGCCATCGACTGTACCATTAACGTCCTCTTGGAAATCGTCATGGGAGTGGACCACGTCGGACCGAAGGAAAAACAAGAATATATCGACAATGTGGGCTTGTAAGACGAATGCTTCGTTCTATTCTGAGCTTGTCTATCATCAATCTGATGTTATCTGTGAATAAGCCTTATCCGAAGTTTTCGATCATTCTCCCAGACTCGCGGAATTGTTCTTACTAAGGTGTCTCTCTCTAGAGACGGTGCTCTCTCTTTACGGTTCTATTCTGAGCTTGTCTATCATCAATCTGATGAAGATTGTCTTCATGTTATCTGTGAATAAGCCTTATCCGAAGTTTTCGATCATTCTCCCAGACTCGCGGAATTGTTCTGCAGAAGGCTCTACAAGCCTTGGAATTTGATCGACGCTTGCTATGACCTCACCCCAGACGGCAAGACCTATAAGCGTGCCGTGGCGAAGTCTCGCGCTTTTACCGTCAAGGTCAGGAATGTCGCGCCTCGGATCACAGTCTAAATGCTTATGGCGTGAGCGTTCCGTGCAATTTCCGCGGAGTCGTCATCGAACTGAGTGCTGAAGGAGCATTTTGTCCTCAGGCTATCGAGCGGAAAATTCAGGAACTGAAGGAGCACTCAGAGCGTCCGGAAGGGCGTCCGAGCCGGAAAATCGCGTTTCTTGACTTGCTGGTCGGACTCTACTTGGATGGAGAGCAGCTATCCATCGAAGAGATGATTGATGAAGTCGAAACATTCATATTTGCCGTAAGTTACCCATATCGCTCCCATCCACCGCCAGTACCAGATTGTGTCGTCCGACCATTTGTGATTTCTTTATGATTAGTAGGAGACTCGATTAAGGAATACATATCCTATGTCTCAGGGCCATGACACCACAGGAAGGGCGATCGCTTGGGCTCTATTCCAACTGGGCCACCTCCCCAATATCCAGAAGCAACTCCGCGAAGAGTTTGTTTCCATTCTCGGCACAAACTCGGCCTGCGTTGGTGCTAACGAGAAACTGAAGGAGCTCAAATACTTCGACAGAGTCCTGAAAGAGTGCATGAGACTCTACCCATCCGTTCCCGGATTCTGTCGTGTATGCAACAAGATGGAGCGCATTGGGTCAGCACGGCAGCTTTGATTTCGCGATC